AAAAGAAAAGAACAAAATGAAATATATTACGCACACAAGGAGATACCATGGAAACCTTTTGTGGACAAAAAACCTGACATGACCCACACCAAAAAAATCAACTACGACAACAAAATGTCCTGTAACCTGTAACAAAGCACCCATTTTCAGCCTTGAAGTTCATACCCAAAGTTATGACCACACCGTATACTTGTTGTTGACCGCTTCGTTACTAAGAAACCTTAGTTTCTGAATTTACTTATTCGCTGTCGTGCAGTTTAGGGAAAGATCAACGTGATAACAGATTGCGCCGCTTGACTTCACCTTCCAAGAAACAAAACGGCATTACTAGACTGCCAAATTTGGAGATTTGGTTCCGACTATTTAGATATGTATAATTAACCATAATTAGTTAAATGGGTTACAGTAACAACTTCCGATTAAGTTGAGGTTACGTCCGTGAGATGGGGGAATATGTTCGCTTTTCCGTATTTGCTTTTTCGTCGCTTTCGCCGATTTGTCTTTTGCTGCTTTCATCCCCGGTAGGGAGTTTACCGTAATTCTGATTTAGTTTTTCCGAAGTGACCGCCGCCATTTTACCCCTACGATACCTGGGAACGCCGTTCTCGGCTCGAGTTACCTGGAGCACCCGACAACTCCGATCCTAACCCTGACCAGAAGCCGAGTTTCCGACCCTCCTGGTGGGGCCCGAAGTACTCCCGTTCCCCCGTTTCTTCTCGTCGTCACCGTCTACATAGTATATCCTGTAAATTACCGCGGGATGTTTTGTTCTTACTGTCATTAAATTTTATTTTGTAATTATACCGGTTAATTTGTGTTTTTTTGTGAAGGAGAACAAAAGTCACCCTTGGTGCGCGAACTTCTGGAGAAAATTCGTCGCAAAACAACTCGGAGGGAAAGGAGTGTAAAACCGATCGACTGGAACGTAGCTAACCGGGTGGCGAGAAGTTGCCTAGTGATCACTGGGATGGGCGGTAAACACGCTCATCCCACGCAGGGAAATATTCCCGGCAGCATACGTGGTAATTATTTTGCAACCCAGCATCCATTTTGTAAGTGCGCCTTGGGCACCCTTGATTAAGACCATATCGTTGGTATTTAAATTTTTTCGCCATTTGGTGCATTGTCGCAAATGATTCGCTAGCTTGACGATAGCTGTAAATTTGGCAAGATATACATTTTGGCGTCTGAAAAAAAAGGTGGAACATTGCCTTCCAAGGTAGCGTGAATAAAATGCACTACGGGAAAGTGTAAAACAAACATTGTAAATCTAGTGATATTTCATCGTTATAAAAAATGCCTTCATTGTGATATATTGAAAGCCACATCGGTGAGACCACGCCGTAGATATCCACCATAAAGATTAGCCAGAGGCAAAGAACAGTATTGGCAATCCATGCCCGAGAACATCTTCAAGCCACATGCCATGCAGAAATCGACAAGAAGTTACAAATTGTGACCGATGTTACAATTAATTCTTCTACTCTATCCTGCCTCTGGTGTTAATCTTCATAAATATGAATAAATTCTTTAAGGTACTTAGCTGGATCAGGGTGCATATTTGTAAATGGGGGTTTGAGGCGGAAGTAATAATCCTGTAAAGTAAATGGTTAACGAGATTCATTCTCATTGATAGGAAATATGCAGCTTTAATATCAATGAAATAAACTGGATGTACAATAATGAATCACCGTCAGGCGCCAAAAGAAAGTTAATTGTATTTTTATAATGACCCTGTATAATAAAAATAAAACGAACTCAATACGCGCATATTCAGGCGCGAATCTAAATTCGACTGGCACTCGGTGTAATGTAAAATTGCAAGTAAGTGGTTAAATCAGCTTTGTATAGGTACTTATACAAAGTTAAATTGCCCTCGAGCATAAAATTCTTTTCAATAGTTTGTATCAAACACACTACGACGCTAGTTCAATTTTATAACGAAGCTATCCACAACAAATGGTAACACGACGGAAAGCGACAATACTATAACGCGTTAGAACATAAATACCTTTAATGTTTGTGCAACAGGAGTTCTGGATGCGTTCGGGTCACGGCTTTCAATCAGAATGGAAAGTGGAGGGCGTGGCTTCTCGAAAAATGTTCAACGTTCCATCGTTTTTCTTGAAAATCCGGCGAAAATCTTCATTCCCTAGTATGACTTCTCCTTCTTGGCTTAATTTCTATCATCGGTATCCACGCAGAGACGCTAAAGATTGCACGCCGCTTAATGAATGCTGCTTTCCCACTATTTACACTCATATTTATAGGTATCGCCTTTGTAAAATCTGACTCAATTGGGTTACGACAGGCACATTTCACTCGCTCTCCTTGCTCTTATTTTAATGTTAATTACCCGCTTAATTTACCTTACCCTCAATATACACACGTAGGTAACGCAGTATAACAATTACTGTATTTGCATCTGAATTGAATTTCTAACGTCGCTTTTTACTTTATTTTTCTAATTTCCCTTTAGCTTCCTTACGGTTAAATAAAAAACCAAATTGAGTTATAAATAAATGAAATAATTGATTTCCTTACAATGCTTAAACCTAGGCTTAAACAAACATTCACCCACAATATTATCGTTGCGTATCTATATTTAGATTTTGCATTTTTACTAAACTGCACAATTTTCTGTAATAGAACAGTTGAATATTTGTAGAGTGTGTTCACAAATTAATGTAGTACTTTATACCGTGTTCATTTGATACTCCATTACTGATTTGCCGCAAACATAGATTCATTAATCATTTGAATTTGTTGGGACAATTGATACTAAACTTAAACTAAGCACAAGCTTTAAGAGCGGCCATTTAAATTTGTAGTTGAATGGGTGGTAGCACCGATAGGTACTCAATTTTCGTCGTAATGTTACGGTATCATTAAATGTCGTACTATTTATAATGTAGCTATTCTGCAAAAGATGGCTCTGTAAAAATGCAAACGTAGATATGTTTCCAATGTTGTTGTACCATTTATATTTAAACCTTTCTTTGCAAGTTGACATTTTATTCGTTGACGTTCCGTTTTACTTATAAAATTCTTGAAAATTTTGTTTGCAATCATCACAAAAGACGTGAAATAATCTTCGGACCCGATGTGATTGAGGCGACATCTATACAAAAATAGGTAGGTACCTAACTTACCTGTAAAATAAAATTTTAATTAGCTTTTGTAAAGATTACGACGAAAGTTGAGTATAGTGCTGTCACCTACTCAACTCAACACAAAAAAACAAGATTCGCATAACACTTCAACTTGCTCAATATACTCGTACTTACATCTATTTGTCTTTCGGTATACGAGTACATACCTGATGGTAACCTTTTACTTATTTTGAACTAAATATACCACTAACGTAAAGTTTTTAAAACCTTTAATATTGGTCATCGGAAAACTATTTATTTTGATGGTATACTTTGAGTAAAATCCTGCAAATTTCCAATTGTGATGGGATTAAATGAATTCTTATTAGCGCAGATAAACAAAACGTCTTAGATACTGGTGACCACCATTTTTAGGCTTATTCCATTACCGTTGCCAGATATAAGCTGATGCCGTCTTTTGTTTTTTCCCTAGCTGTCACTCCTTTAGTTTTTAAGCTTAGCATTTATTCAGGCACTTTTTAACATAGAAATCAATGCCATCAGTTGTCTGTTTGTAGCCCTTTTATTAGTAACTGCGCTGCAACATCTCCCAAACGGAAATTATAGTTGACCATGGTTTCAAAAGATTGCTTCTTTTACGAGATTTCCGAAAGTGTACCTATACTATGTTACACTGATTTTCAATAAATGTTGTTTATTAATACATCTTGTCTGAAAATAAATAACAAAAAAATATCGTCGCCTATGAACACTTGAAAGATAAGCTTGATCAACATTTAAAGGAAACACTAGCTGACATTGAACAATATCTACAAATACGTCGTGCCTTCCATTGTGGGAAATGAACATGTTGCATATTTTTCTTAAAGTTCTTTTTGCTTTCAGGATTTGTAGTGATTGAACGCTTATTTTCCCGTAAATCAGCTTTCTCACTTGTAGAAGGGTATTTATAACTTTGATTGTTCAAAAAACCCCACAACAATAAATCTAATGGGTTTAAGAAGCGTGAACGTGCTGGCCATTGGTCACTCACTGCGTCCCCATCCAATGATGAGGTACGGTATCATTTAAATAATTTCGAACAAGTAACCGGTTATGAGCTGGGACACCGCGATGGTGAAAAAGACCATTTGGTCTCTCTTCTAAAGGAATATTATGGAGTAAATCTTTCAGAATGTGCTCTAATGTTTGGATATATTTGTCAGATATAAGTGTGCGTTTAAAAATATAATATTTTGAACTATGTGATTTTAGGCGTGTTTCTCTTGGGTTGGTATAGATATAGTTAGATCTCATTTTCCTTCCTAAGAAACCAATGGCAAAACTTTCTAGGTAAAATTCCAGGTTTCAAATATATGGGTTGTTATAATAATAATAATAATATTCGCCAGAAAGAATGAAGTGATATGGGCAAGGTTAGCAATAGGTCACACAAGGGTGACACATTCGTATCTGCTCTTAGGAAGATATGCTCCCAAATGTCCACAATGTAAAGAAAAAGTACTTACCGTAAAGCATGTAGTAGAAGAATGTGAGAAATTAAATGAGTATAGAGTATAACACAAAATTGAGGGAAAACTTGCTATGATGCTAAAAGAAATTTGGAAAGTTAATACAGTTCCTGAAAGACATTAATATAATGAAAGAAATCTAAAGAAATGATTGGTAAATAATGGATGACACTGCTGCAAAATAATAATTATCTGCTCTGACAAAACTTAATCGTGGCGCTCAATGGTCACAGTTATCGAAAGCGCACACTTTAAGGTTATTAAAAAAAATATTAATAATAATATTTATTGTCCAAACAAGTAAATACTCTATAACAGGACAATATCTAAATAAGAAATCTTAAAGAAATCTTATGTTATGTATAGTATTTCATTTGTAACGTTTTAAAATGTTTAATGTTTTAGTCCTCGAAACACCGCAATATTGTGTGCCATTTTGAGGCTGGACAAATGAACCAAATTCAGTTAAATTATTATCTTTTAACCTAAAATGTATACATTAACACATAATATAATTAATTTCAAGCATGGTGTCACGATTAAAAGTAATAAATAACAACATATGGTTGTATCCTTTCTGGAAATTGTAACTGATATTGAAGACTTGCTACTTTTTGTTTCACAGAATAAATACTTTTAGCATGTTATATTTTTCATAGTTAGTAATAGCCATTTGGAAATTTATTTTAAATGATTTTAAAATGTCACTAACCTGAAGAATGCAATCTATTTTGACAAAATACTAAAAAAAAACAAACCACAGCTGTTTACTGTTTTTCATAGGCGACTATATCTTGTGTTGTTTATTTTCAGACAAGATGTATTAATAAACAAAATTTATTGTAGAGAACTTATTATTGAAAATAAGTAATGGCATATTATACATTTTCTGAAAGCTCGAAAAACGAGCAATCTTTTAAAACCACGGGCAATTACAATTTCCATTAAAAAATATCAAATTGGAAGTTACCACAAATTGATGGAATCGGCCATTTTTCAGGGAAAAAACAAAAGAGAGCAGCGTATTTCGGGAAACGGTAATGGAATAGCATGAAAAAAAAGTCACGAGTAGGTACCTAACCCGTTTTCATGTATCTGCACTAATAAGATAGTTACCCATTTAATCCCATCGAAATTGGGTCACACTGTAGAGATGATTCCAATTCTTGGGAATCTTTTCATACCTTTTCACTAAAATATAAATTAAGACAAATGAAGAACTCTTATATTAAACCTTCTTTCCTAAAAATCTTCTCAATTTATTACTATTTTAGTACATACATACCTACAACGGCGTTTCATTGTTTCAAATTTTAGAATTAAGCTTGTGGAGCTGTAAGGACATCAAAAATAAAGAAACTACTGCTTTCATTTTTCTAACTCAATGAGCCCTCACCAGTCACCTCGAACCTTTGACCGACATCAAATACGACTTGCGCCATAATCAATAATCGATTGTTAAAAAACAGACAAGGGTAGTAATTTATTTTCTATATAGGTCAAACGTTATTTGTATCGATTATTCTTTGTAGTATTTCAAATGAAGGATAATACGTACTTAAACAAACCGTTTACGTGCGTTTTGTGTTAAGAATTACAGCCACATAAAAACCGAGAAACACAAAATCCAAAGGCTGAATTCGTGATGTGGTTAAATTAAACAAGTATAAATTGTGCACAACTCTTGTGCAGATAAAGGGCACTTTTTTAACCGAAATAGCTTTTTTGTTTGGACATCACCAATGGATATATTTCTTGCAGACGTCTCAATCGCCCTCTGAGAATACCCTATCACGATAAGAGGGCGAGGAGGAGGGCTATGGTTGGTAGAAATTAATTCCTTTCGTTGAGACCTTTCATTAGAGTACCATGAAGGAAAAACTAGCCCCCCCCCCCCTCATCCCTCAGGGCCCCTCGCCCACTGATTTCGAAAAAGAGTCGCACGGGAAAGTTATAGTTTGTATGAACCAATTTATTTCGATGAGACCTTTCATTAGAATACCATGAAGGGTAGAATATGTGGTTACCCCCTCCCCCTTTTTTTTCTAAAGTTTAACTTGGAACCACTAAAGACATGCGTATACAAAATCTGAGACCAATTGGTTGTCGTATGTAAAAGTTATGCACGTTTTACTTTCAAAAACAGCATCTCAGGAAATAATTCATGGGGGGGGGGGGGCTCTTTTAGACAGAGAAATTTGATGGCCGTCTGGCACACCTGCAAGGTATAGGCTACCTACCTACTGCAAAAAATTCCAGAGCTCTAGGACCATTTCCCTAGAAGTAGTTCGAAACGGCAGAAGTGGGTCCGGACGGACGGACGGACAGAACGCAAACAATAGCACATTTTTTTAATTCTTAAAAATGCGCTAAAAACAAGAAATTGTTGAAGATGAATTATCATGCTGATGGAGTTATGGAGGAAAACATGTGAAAACGTTTCTGCACTTTCCTTCATAACGGTCGGAATCGTCCACATCACTCCATACTGTACCTATATTTCGGGCGGTACCCGAGGTGCTAAAGGTGTCAAGGGACGGATGCTAGTAGGTGCCAACCAGGGTGCCAACACAGTAAAGCCATTCTTAATCTCACTCAAGGCGGCACAAACCTCGTTCCAGATTGTCTTCTACTACTCTAACATACTTATACAACAAAATCCTCCATGGCTCCAGAAGAACAACGATGTTGAATTTTATATTTGACAGGAAGGTTGGAAAGGATGGGAAGGGAAGTAGTATCTGAGCACAGAGGGCTCGTATCGATTCCCCGACAATTTTTATGTTTGTCGAATCGACCAACTTTGCTGAACACCCGGTATCTAGAAGCGTTTTAAGTTGGGCGCTTCGTTACTAACACTAAGCAGTTTCTGAATTTACTTATTTGCTCTAGAAGACGAGATGTAATCTTTGTGTGTTTTCATTTTGTTTAATTGTTTACCTTACCGCTGATAACGCACCTAAGTTAAGTAGTGAATTTATCAGTTTTGCAATCGTCCCTGTAGGGATATTAAAACTGATTTTACAGCCGCCGAAATCTCTCTTGTCAGAGAAGAAGAGGCAAATTAATATTTTAGAATTTCTGACATGATACGCCATTATTAGTAGGTTTCGTTTTCTACGGGAAATTTAAAGCAAACATTGGAATTGCAAGGTCATATTGACAATGTAATGGTTCCAGCGCCAAATGGGGTAAACGGAATAAATTGAAAATCCAAGATCTCCCCATAAAATATAATGAAGTAAAACAACTGTGTAAACAACTTTTGTAAATTTTACTTCATTATATTTTAAGGGGAGATCTTGGATTTTCAATTTATTATTGCAAAATGCAAGGTCATGCAAGTTTAGCCGTTATCAGCCAAATAGCGCCGATTCGGTTGATCCTGCGAATTCCATTTAACAATGGGTGTTAATTGGATAAAAGGATTGACATTTAAATGAGTTACAGAAATCCGTCCGATTCAGCTGGGCCTTATCTCAAAAAAAGCGTTCTTAAAAAACTTGAAGTCTGAAGTCGGTCCCATATTTTTCCGATGACGGGGGAAGGAGTAATTAATTGAAAACAATTTTAATTTGTTTGAACGTACCTATCGAAAGTATCAGCGTACCAGATGGGAATTCCAATTTATCGCTACTAGAAATGGGCGTTTAGATAAATAGAAAAGGCACTATGAATTTGTTTCTTTTTACTTTTGCAATTGTACCGTATTTAAATCATCAATCTTTTGCATATAAGGAGTTAACCGAAACGTAAACTCTTTTGCTGTCTGCATCCTTTGCCTTTGGTGTTTTAACCGTATTTAAATTTTTTGTCTTGTTGTAACGGGCGATCAAAAATGAGTTGCTGTCGAGTTGCCTTTGGAAGATTAAGTTAAATACGATTTTCCATGTAAACAAAAATTCCAAAGGTAACTCGACAGCAACTCATTTTTGATCGCATTGTACTTTCGCCAGTTACATTTCTTTGCATCCTGTACCGTTTCATGTTCGCTTTTGCAATTGAGGTGCCGCACCGTATTTATTGGAATTGGCTTTTAGCGAACTTAATAAAAACTCCGTTAATTTCAAGGTGAGCTTCTTGTTACTTTCCGTTTCACTAATTATCAGGGGGGAGATATTATTCGCTTTCCCGCCATTACGTTTCCGCCGCTTCCGTCGATTTGTGTTTTCTTGCTTTCATTCCCGCTAGGGAATTTGCCGTAATTTTGTTTTAGTTTTTCCGAAGTGACCGCCACCATTTTCTGAACCCCTCCGATTCCTGGAAACGCCGTTTTTCCTTTGAGGTATGTGGATCACCTGACACCGGCAATAGAGTTTCCGCACCTTCTACTAGGATCCGAAGCACTCCGTTTCTTCTCACCGTTACCGTCTACATAGCATTTAATATGCTAGCGATATATTTTGAGTATTTTCGAAATGCGACAATCGCTGCCCGCAACTTCTATTTCCGTTATCCGAATCAACCACGAACCATCGCCGCCAACATATTAAATGCTTCTTGGTTAGAAATCGGCATTTTAGAAAAGATTACAAATTCAAACAACTGCACTTTCTGAATGTAAACACAGCAGAATAATTTACAAATTAAGGCTGTTATTATTTTATAATGCATCGTGTTTCATTTGTTTAATTTTCCAAGGCCTACCTAAAAGTGTAGGGTCATTTTCCAAACAATCTTTCGCGCCATCGACAAATACCGCAAATACGTCAAATAAGATACATTTTAAGCATTTTTATTAATTAATTAATTAATCACATTTTCCCAATATTTCAGGTTAGGAACGAGATTTTGAAAAACGGTTTTCACTGGCCTCTTTGGATGTTATTTGGCTACTTTTTCATAAAGAAAAAGTCATATCATTCCATTTGATTTTTTTAGGATTTTGGATCATAGTGTCAAAACTAGCCCCCTGGCGGAGAAGGATTCAACTAAATTAACTATATTTTGGTTGATTCTTGTTGCCCAAGGAATTCTCTTTTCAATGATACCAAATTTGTTACAATCGGTCAAACGGTTAAGAAGTTAAAGCAGGTTATTGCAAAAACATTTGAACGACCCACGCCATCTTTGTTTTTGAAATAACTGAGTTTTTGTTTTCACGAAAATGATAGATAAACTGGTCTTATTTAAAAATGTGAAAAAAGAATGTTTAGTTTATTATGCGAAATTTAAAGCAAATGCAATTTTAAAATTTAAGATGGCAGTTACGCCCACTGGTGGTAGTTTTTAGAACTTGAAAATATTTTCCAGCGATATGGCCGAGGAGCAGTCTTATTGGGTCACCCTGTACAGTAGCGTGTTACTGCAGATATTGATTACACTTCGTTGCGCGCCTTTCAGGTGGAGGTAAGGGAAAAGTCTTTCCGTGGAGAGAGTAAATTAGCACTTCTAAAATAGTCAAAACCCTACGTTCGAACTACCGTGTTTGGTCAGAATGTTTACTAATATAGGGACAATAAACTAATCAATTGCAAACATTCTAAATATATTCCTCTCAGTTGCGTATGTACAATTATTGAAGTTAACAAAAAATTAACTAAAATAAATATAAAACAATAATCACATCAATAATACTTAAATCCTAGGGGTACGCTTTAGTTGTCGCCCGTTAAACTTACTTGGGAACACTTCCATTTGGAGTATAACTTCCTAGGTAGTGCACCCAAGGCGAAGAACGAAATGAGAGACGGGAAACGCCGACCCAAAGCCTCAGACAGAGTCTCTAATCACACTGTTCGATGCGTAACATCTCTTTAACTAATCACACTGACTTTATGGTTTCTGTAGTTTAAGCGCGTACAGCTGTTTGTGCAATCGCTGCTTGCAAAACTCGTAAAATTCTATCTCCTTGGTGAAATTTTGTCGGACGATGTCTTTCACCTTCTCATCGACCTGGGGTTTGAAAGTGTTCCTGTTGATTGTATTATACCTGCTAATTTCCTCTGAAACAAACACGTTCAGCTTGTGAAGCTTCGGTCGAGATACTGACCCCAGTAAATCTCAGACGCGCCTTTGAAAAACTTAGGTACATAGTTTTCGAGAACAGTCATGGTCGTGTTTAAATCTTCGAGAACACCGACGACCGCGTAGTGTTTTTCCACCGCCATTTTCGCCCTTTGTAAAGCACCTTCTGTGTTAAACGGCGTGCACTCTTCGGAATGACCGCAGAAAAACATCGATTGCCGACGGTGGTCTCCTATTCCCTCTCTGGTTTCGCCTTTTAAATACTTGCATTCGCGATCATTCGACAGGACGCATGTTTCGAAATCCTGAAATGCTCACGTGATTTGGTAAAAGAGGAGTGTTGGTCGCTAACCTTTTTTAGCCACTTCGGGTCTGGAAGCGGTATATCGGGAAACGCCAGTTTCCGTTCGACGTAATACCAAGGCGCTCTTATGTAGTAATACCAGGAGATGACTCTTTCTACGGGGTCTCTGACGAGATTCACGTAAATCGGCTCGGGAAGACCAAACCTGCAAAGACCACCATTAAGCAAGCCACTAAAGTAGTGTATACCCACTCTGAAAAGTTTGTAAAACACACGTGCTTGATGTACACTGAAGGTGACTCATAACCGGAAACAAGTGCAGCTAAACGTAACTGGTCTTCGGGCGGCAAACGAATGGTTTCAACCCTCTGCACGCGATCCTGGTGGAACCCAAACTCATTTCGTATACTCAGCCTGCGTAGTAATTCCATAAACGTTTGCGAACCCACCTTCGGAACCCGATTGAAGAAGATTACGTCCTGCTGTGCGTTCCGGGTGTTGTTCAGTTCGTAGGGGTTTAGTGAAGTCACCTGAAAAATCATTGTGGTTAGCAACCAGACCCGAACATAATAATTTTAATAACGTTTGCAAGTTCAATACGCGGATAAATTAATTAAAAACGATGCTCTCGGATCTGTGAAAAAAAAAACGGTTCCTTTCCATTGTGTTTAGGGAGGTGTGACCGGGTAATACGCTTTGCAAACTGGAATAAATGGCCGAGGCGGGTTAATTTGAGTTAAATTGCTTTACGAGCATGTTCTTACCCCTCCGGTGCCTTGGAGCATTTTCATCATAGCCTTCATATCGTATGAGGCAGGTCCGCTATCACCTGTAAAGAATGAGAAAAATTAGAATTGTGTTGACAGTAGCGTAGGGATAATGCACGAATGAATGTTCTGCAGTGACGTTTTGCATTACATAATTTGTACTAATCGCATTAACAACAATAGTTGCTTTGCACACATTGTCTTTTACGTTACATACACAGGGGATATTATGATATAAGATGTCGTTGAAATTTTAGAAATTGTCTTTACTTAAGTAGTTATAGTGGTGTTCAAATTACTACCGCTTTACTAGTCCACTCTGCGCCCTGTCCCAAAATATGAACTTGATGAATTCAGATATCGCCTTCATCTTTGGGTGCATCTAGAGGTGTCCTCTTTCCGCCTAGACTATGATGCCCAATTCTCTGGGAAGAAATAAACAGTTGAGGGTGTGGATGATACCCTCGCGGCTCGACTTCCATCACCCCCTCTTTGCCTGGCATGGCGAACTACCATCCGGATAATTTCGTTATGGCGCTTTAAGAGTACGTGAAGTGTAACGTGACATCTCTGTACCACATGGGATAAAAAAACACTTGCGCACCCCTCTGAAATCTCTTCTCACTAGTAGTAGTGGGGAGGTCTTTTTACCAGTTTCTTGGTCTTCGCAGCAAAGTCCAATGCGGGACCGAGATGTGATTAGGCGGCGTAGTTCGGACAAGTCCAGACCTCCATCGCTGGCACTCGCGCGGGTAATCTGATTCCCCGTGTGGAGGTTTAGGTGAATAACCGAGGCTTCCGATAACTGAGCGGTAGTCGTGGGGGAATTCTACATCCTAGGGACAAGATATGTGCGTAGAACCGCGTACTTGTGTTGCGGGCGAAGCGGCGCCCTGTCCTACTTGCGTAACCATGAATCTAGGTTGAAGAGGCTGGGCCTGGCCGCCCTCGACGCCCCGAACTGGTGACCCAGGTATTTGAAGATGTTGAAACTACCTACCGTCTGAATTAGCCGTCCGGTGATCCTAAAAATGGGTTTGGACCGAGGCACGGACTTTTCCTGGACGCGGACATGAGATGGACGTGAAATGTTTAGAGTTAACCTCCATTCATCTGGCCTGGAAGAAGGTGAAGGCCGTGTCCAACGTTGAGGGTAAGTCCAACTCTCGACCTTCGAAAAGGGTTAAATCAAATGATAAAATTCGGTGCAACAGGCGCTGAAGCGCAGGTCCAATGGTTATCGGATGCCAGTTGGCTGCGTCCGCCCGGTCGCCACCCTTCGAGTAATTTCCGTAGGGAGTAAGATCAGCAAAAACATCCCGTTTGCGTAAACCCCCTTTAAGCTGACAGATGACCTGATAGAATTAGGACCCTGAAAAAGATAAACTCGGGTATTTAGGACGTTGGGCGCAGGCGTGGTCTTCCCCTGATTGTTCGATTTGGTTTATATTTTGGGTGAAACTTGACGGAGAAAAAAAAATGAAAGCAAGAGTATAATTTCAGCTTGCGTAGTTATTTTATGCTTATTGAGAAAGATTTATCATCACTACGGATGGTTCGTTGTTTATTAAATGAAATGTAGGCGATCATTAGTTAAAAATACGAAATTACTGCTTTCATTTGATTTGATAAGACATTTTAAGCTGATAAAGTTAGCACTTTTTTGTTTGTGTATAATTTCTTTACTTTTAGAGTTTATTTGATACGGACGTGTGTTAAAAGTAAACGGAATAAGACAATAATTGATAACATTTTGCGTACGTGATAAGACAAGTGTTTTTAATAGTATATCAAAGGGATTTACCAAAATATTGCATCTTTAAAAAAACAAAAGTGGAAGTGGTTCGCGATAACGTTTGTTTGTAAAAGCTGCAGGAAGTAAAAAAGAGAGGACGTGTTTATGAACCTAGTAAATTTTTAATCTTTTGTCATTTGGACAAGCCGAGTGTTTGTTTGTTTTTATAAATTTGAATTTGCAAGGTCTTATAAAACATTTCGCAAATAAACTAACAGTTGGTAAATGTAAAGGGCATATTTAGGGATACGTAGCTTTGTGTATTTCTTATAGATGGCAAATGCTTAATGTTTGCTCATGTGCGTAGAAGTTTAAATGAGCATGTTGCTTCCTTTAGGGTTTAAAAATACGAATTATATTCCAATTGTTTTGGGAAATTTCCATTTAGTTTAACTAATGTTATCATATTTTCACTACAGGGTGGTTTTATTATTTGTTAAGGTAAGGTTGAAGAGGTACATGTACAGGATGTTAATTCAGGTTGGATCATATTGTAGTTTTCGTTGCGTAGTTAAAGTGGAACTTTTCATATGTGTGGGTGTCCTTCATTTGAGATTAATATACAGGGGGTTTAGATAATGTAGGGTAGCGTGAAGATGTGTGTGAGTTAGACACTTTCCTCGTGTATTTTAACAATTCGCAGGTAGGTGACTTCAATTTCGATATTTATTATCGGCTTGTATGATGAGTTGGGGGTTTTGTTTGTTTTGTGTGGGGGCGTAATATATTTGTTGGAGTTGTTTGCAGTTATATTTTTCCAGGCGCCTGAACTCGCCATAAACAAACATTATATATTATGTGTATTCTTCGTCCCGTGAACGTTGGTGTGATTGTCCGGCTCCGTTACATAACAGTATTATTAATTACATTCACTATTGTAATGTAAAATTGTAAATGCAAATTGGAAAAGAAGTGAGAAAGTAAGTGCGTACATTTCCTAAGTTTTTAATAGCTCTTTTTCCTTCCTTGTAACCAATGGAGTCCCTAGAGCTCTTCTCGTGTGATTAAGAGAGGGCAACATTGATCTTAATTTGGATGCACCTTGGATTAGTGTCTTTGAAAATAAATGCAATTGAATTTAAGTTTGTGTAAATTCATCACGTCATCATTTCATCTGCAGGTGTGAAAGAGAGAGCAGGAAGAAACATAAACCTGAGGATTGGTGTCTTTGGCGCCCGTCTGGCGGTTGATAACGCGAAATTAATTACGTGTCAGTGTCTAGCAGAACATGGAAAGAATTGCTGATGTTGGGTCTGATGGCTTTTATAGGCGCGTGATTAGTTTAGAAGGCGAAGTCTATTGAATTAACGAGTACAGATGGCGGCTCTACCCTATTAGCAACATTCTGTAAGCGTTTTTGGAGAATTATAGAGTGGGGATTAAGAGAGAGATTTTTTCGGAGTATTAAGCGGTCAGCGGGAAGTCATTAATTGGTGCGTAAGGTGTAAATTCTTCGGTTATTAAATCAATGCCAATAACAATATTGCACAATACGAAAAATAGCAGAACGCCGACGCGAGAATTTTAAAAACTAACACAGATTTCGACAGTAAATGTACGTGTTTATTTAAGGGAGATCAGTCATCTGCCGTAAAGTATTAATCAATGCATTTCTCATCCAATTCATGCTGACACTTGGATTACAGCGAGCATTAACTGAAATTTTGCAATTTATACAGCTTTTCCGCTACGATCCAGGGTTCAGCATTAACAACTTCCGTTTCCGTTCAGTCTGACTTAATAGAAGGTGACCCAGTATTCCAAGGCTGGACGACTCAAATGTTAGTTTTAGACGCTGCATGATTAAAATGGGTTCTTTTCTTTGTATTCAGTGCACATCGTTTTAGTTTAAGGATTGTTACCGATTGACGTTTAAACAGTTATAGAATCATTCCTTAAAGAATCGGTCTGTTCTTTGTTGTAACCTGTTTGAAAGTTTTTAAAATCATCTACTGTAGGTAAGCAATTACCATGTAGTTAGAAGAAAAGAAAGTTTTGCATATAAATACAATATTAAGTAGTGAAAATCGTCTAACTGAGTTGAAAATATAAATTTTATGACTTAGATTTGTTTGTAAAAAGCAGATATTCCGTTTTTCGTTTCATTCTGCATTTAAGGAAGTGTTAATCATAGTGGCCAATCATAGTACAGTTTTGGCCACTGGATATTTTAATGGAGCTAGTAGTGATTTTTAAAGAGGTGTAGATAAGAAAAAAGTGGCCAATCATAGTACAGTTTTGGGCACTGGATAATGGTAATTTTTGAAGGGTCGTAGATAAAAAAAATGTTCCAAAACCCACTCGTGGGTATTGCCGCGTAACACAAAGTATTGAAACGACGCATCGTCACCAAAAGCACACAAAATGTCGAATCTGCATATTGAAGCACATCCACGTCCAGAGAAAGAGAGGAGTTATAAGTTATAAAGTTTCAAAGAAATATTACCATACATAAGAAAGTTGCTATGAGCAACCTGTGCAGTCACTGCGTATGCCCACATAATTTTTACTATGTGCGAAATGTTTGCCTTTACTAGAAGCGCCTGTGGCTAAAATTTCAAAGAAGTATCTCCATAAATAAGAAAGTTAGCATTGCGCAGTCACTGCGCATGCCCACATAATTTTTACTATGTGCGAAATGTTTACCTTTACTAGAAGCGCCTGTGGTTAAAATTTCAAAGAAATATCTCCATAAATAAGAAATTTGGCATTGCGCAGTATGCCCACACATCACTGCGCATGCCCACACATTATTTTTACTATGTGCGAAATGTTTGCGTTTACTAGAAGCGTCTGTGGTTAAAATTTCAAAGCAATATCTCCATAAATAAGAAAGTTGGCATTGCGCAGTCACTGCGCATGCCCACATAATTTTTACTATGCGCGAAATGTTTATCTTTACTAGAAGGTCTGTGGTTAAAATTTCAAAGAAATATCCCCATAAATATGAAAGTTGGCATTGCGCAGTCTGCGCAAAATATGGAGTTAAATGAAACTGATCGAATTGGGCAAATATAGACCATAACAGCTATCAATTAGCGAAAACCCGAAGTCTCTAGGTGGCCCAGGGGCCGAGATCTCGATGGAACGGACGGACGGACGGACGGACGGACGGACGGACGGACGGAAACACGAACACATAAGCTTTACCTCAACTTCGTTGTGTTACGCTAAAAAGAGTCAAACATAGAGCAGTTTTGAGTACTAGATATTTTAATGAAGCGAGTAAATGATCTTTGAAGGGTCGTACACGAGGGCCGAAATTGA